CTCTTTGCTGATGATGCAGCCATTGTTGCCCACTCTGCTGAAAACCTCCAACAACTCATGAATCATTTTAGCAAGGCCCGCCAAGACTTTGGACTAACAATCAGCCTGAAGAAAACACAAGTCATGGGCCAGGGCATGGACTCACCTATCTCTATTACCATCAACACACAAGAATTGGAAGTTGTTCATGACTTTGTGTACCTTGGGTCAACCATCTCTGACACTCTCTCCCTAGATGTCAAGCTAGATAAATGCATTGGGAAAGCAGCTACCATGTTCTCTAGACTCACAAAGTGAGTATGGCTTAAAAAGAAGCTGACGGCATATACCAAGATCCAGATCTATAGATCCTGTGTCCTAAGTACACTCCTGTACTGCAGTGAGTCCTGGACCCTTTGTGCAGGGCAGGAGAGGAAGCTGAGCATATTTCATATGCGTTGTCTCTGACACATTTTTGGTATTATCTGGCAAGACAAAGTTCCCAATAGAGTAGTCCTAGATCGAGCTGGAATTTTTAGCATGTATACATTACTGAAACAGTTATGTCTATGTTGGCTCAGGCATGTTGTGAGAATGGCTGATGGTCGGATTCCAAAATATCTTCTGTATGGAGAATTAGTGCAGGGAAATCGCCCCAGAGGGAGACCACAGCTTCGATACAAGGACATCTGCAAGCGGGATCTGAATGCTTTAGGAATGGGCCTCAAAAGATGGGAAAACTTGACATCTGAGTGGGGAGCGCAGCTATCGTATACCCTTGACCGAAGAACGGTACACTCCTTCTATCTGGGATGGTCTTCCTCCTCCACTGAGCGTGCAGCTTCGGGAGGGACGCACATGGAGCGGTGAGGGAGGAAGTGGACACCCGCCTAGCCAGCCAGATCAGCCAAATCAACCCTGGCGATCAATGGGGTGACTGATGTCGCAGCCAGATCGCCCTCACATCTGACATCTGAGTGTTCAGTCTGGAGGCAGATGGTGTATCACGGCCTCTCCCATTTTGAAAAGACACTTGTCCAGCAGGCCAAGGCAAAGAGGCAGTCCTGAAACCAGCCAAATCAGGGAGCTGGACAGGGGACAGATTATATTTGTCTTCAGTGTAGAAGGGATTGTCACTCTCAAATTGGCCTTCTCAGCCACACTAGATGCTGTTCCAAGTCCTCGATTCAGAACACGTCACCATAGTCTCTCGAGACTGAAGGATGCCTAATCTAAAATATAATCTGCCCACTCCAAAAGGTAGGGGATGCTCATGCTGCAACTAACAGACATATTTCAGTGCTCAAGAAAAATGCCTATTTCTGTTGTCCAATTTGACCCTCAGTGGGCCAGAGCTGCATCCACCAATCCACATGCCTCTTAGAAAGCTGAGTGAGAGGATTCCCATGCACAGCTGTAGGCTAGCCACCAGGAGAGTTGTCTGCATTGCAATCTGCTTCTGTGACTGTCTTTCCAAAAGGCGGTTTTATCATCAGCAGTTAGCAAGTAGTAATGCATAGCTCCATGTCATGAAAACCTTCTCCTGTTGATTTCTCCATTCTGTGAAAAACATGAAAATATGCTCAAGCAGCCAAGTGTGGCACGAAAGTGTTTGTAAATTGTGGTCTGCATATCTAATGCTAGAAAATGAGTGGTTCCAGGTAGTCTGTTTATCTCTTCTCATTCTGGCACCATCCTGGATTTGTGTTTTTAAATGGACCCGAACTGATTCGGACTCACAGACAATTCAATGCTAAAGGGTTTAAGGCTGAAAGTAGATGTATGCTTAGGTGAGGGAAGTGGGGCTTGCTTTTTGAGTAAACATGCAAACAGTTGGATGGTGCAGATACGCACTCAGCACTCAGATACACACACAGCTGGAGAACTGAGGCAAAGATGAAAAGTCCCCCGCAAGAAGAGGGCCCCGCACATTATGTGTAGGATAGGAACTGATGAAACCATGTTGTGTGCAGCTGCAAGATATGACAAAAATAGGAACATGCCAGGCCGTCAGTGCAAACCCCATAACTGTGTATTTTCTCTCTTTGCTTACTTCTGGAACAATGTGGCAACAGCCATCCAATTCCTAGGGCTTTTGTTTAGCTGTTTTTGTGTATGTGTGTTTTTGGAAATGAAAAAAAAAGGCTCCAAAAATGAGTGAAAAACAAGTGCTGCTTCCAAATGGAGAGTCATGTGTTTTGATTCAATCTAATTATACAAAATTATATTTTTATAACCCCTGAAGTTGCCCTGCTTCTTTGTGTCCTTTCTCATTTGTTTACGTTTAGCACAGTCAAGGATCCAAGTCTTAGTGACTTTTGAGGGAAGAAAGGGGAAAAAAATAACACTGGCCTTTGGTATTTGCTACTCTCCATTTCTTCTGGCCTTGTAAACAAACCTTATGTTTTCCTCACTTCATGGCTCTCTTTCCTACAATAGTTTTTTGTTGCCTCTGGAGCCTTTTAACTTTCTGAAGCCCTCATGTGCTCACCAATCATGGCAGCCCCCAGATTTAACTGGACAGCTCCACTATTCCCTGTGTTGTGTGGGTGGAAGTAGGCCCCAAGAGCTAAATCCAGCTAGAGTAGACCCGTTGGATGCATATAGCCCATTAAGTCAACAGTAATGAAAATCTCATTGATTCAGCAGTTTGCTCTAGCTGGATATAACAGCTAGATTTATCCCCAAGACTGTGATTACTTGGGATCAGCAACCGCACTGGTGCAAATGTATACCCCTAAGAGGCACCAGCAGCATTTTTTGCTGGCACTCCAGAGGCAAGAGGGGTGTGTACATGTGTCTGTGTGTGTGTGTGTGGAGGGAACCACATTCCAAACTATACCTTACTTGCAATCCATTTCAGAGAAATTGGCCCACCACTGTCTAACCCCTCCCTTCTTTGAAACGGCTTTCCCGTAAAACACATTGCCAAGCAAGGATAATTATCTATCTGCTTAGGTTTTTTCCCCCTTTCTGACTGTTCTTTTGTGAGATTTACTTTCCATTTTTGAGATGGATTCGTCTGGTTTCTGGCTTGCAACCAGCAAAGATTTTCCTCTCTCTTAGTGCAAAAAAAGACCACTGTAGTTGCATGCCCCATTTTCAAACTGGGCTTGTCTTCATTTTATTTGCATTCATACCTGGGAAGGGGGGATGGCATTACTTCTCCTGTGTGTCTCAGAATCGGGCACAAACATATTAGTAGAACAGTAGCTGCGAGTTTCTGAGAAGGTGATTTCCAACACGGTATAGTACCTCAGCCTTCTGCTTTCATGGTGCAGCCTCTTGCATGCCTGTTTGGAAACCAGCCCCACTGAAAATGATGGGACTTACTCTGAGGTAGGTCTAGGATTTTGGGCCTATTATAAATCATTCCAATGCAATGGAAGTGTAAAGAGGTTTGTAACTCTAAGGATCCAGCATGGCCAAATGTGTATCTTATACCTTTGTGTAGTGCTGCATAGTTCAGAGGTTTAGCCACCAGAGGCTGCTAGCTTGATTCCCCACTGTGTTTCCTTGACAAGGGTTAGACTCCATGATCCATAAGGTCCTGTCCAACTCTGTAGTTATAAGATTAAAGGAATAGCCAGTATGAGGTAGAAGGGTTGTGTGGGGTGGAGGAGGCAAGGATCACATTTAGCTCTTTTCTGTCCACAGCCAGGGTGAAAAAGCCATATGAGGGCCTGGTCCATGGGGTCATGAAGAGTTGGACATGACTAAACAACAATCACCCACTAGAGATTTTCTTTCAATGTAAATAGTAGACCCCCAGGGACAGGTGTTCTTATCAGGACAATGGCCCAGATAGAAAGATTTAAACCCTCTCCCCCCAATGAGATGGTCTTGATCTGGTTCACCCCTTGCTGGCCATGTACTTAACCAAAACATTCAAAAATGTGATGTCAGAATACAATAAAGCTGCAGAGCTTGGAAATGTTAATTTTTTTGTGATTACAATTCACCCAAGTCCCCCACCATCATGCCCCACTCCAAAGGGATGTTTTCCAAACTCCAGACAAATGTCATGTCTAATTTGGCCCCAACTTCTGACACTTTTTGCTAAAGCATCCCTTAGGGTAGTACTATCAGAATGGAACTCTGGGTTTAGAAGCCAAGTACATTCATGAACAAGCTGTTCCTCTGAGGGAATACAGTACTATGGATGAGCTGTCAAATATTCCTAAACAGGAAGTATTTTTAAAAGAACCTAACTTGAGAGCTACTACTTTTCTCATTACTACACATGCCTGGGGGCTTGTTTCTTGTTTTGGAAATACACCTAGAGAGGATGTTGTTCTGCATGGAATGGAAATCATTTGCCCTTCGCTAATTGATGGAATAGCTCAGTGGTTTAGGTATCTGGCTGTGGAACCAGAGGTTGGGAGTTTGATTCCCCACAATGTCTCCTGGGAGAAGAGCCAGCCTGCTTGGCTTTTGGGGAAGCTGCACAGTCCCAGGATGTCCCCAGAAGAAGGGAATCGTAAACCACCTCTGAGTACTCTCTATCTGGGAAACCCTAAAAGGGGACTCCGTAAGTCTGAATTGATTTGACAGAACACAATTATTATTAATTTGTGGTGAAGTGAGGTATGCTGTGCGTTTATCAGGAGAGAGGAGCCGGCTCTTTCCTCCTGCCTTGCCTACCCACCTACAGCCAGAAGTATTAGTAACTTTTACATGGGAATTGCTCCAAGAAGGAGTTACTAGACTTTTGGAAGGATCTGGTTGCAACATCTTTGGGGGCACTAGGAACGCATGCCTTCTATCTTGGGTCTGCTTCTAGGCTGCTGTTTTGCTTTTAAGACTGTCTCCTTTGGTGATGGCAGCAGTAGCAACAAAGACACTCACCTGGGGAATAGTTTCTGCCTCCCCCTGCCAGTCTTAGCTGTCATGGTGCTTTACTGCCTGGGGTTCAAGACTGAGAAATCTTTTTTTTTTTTTACAACTCCCACAACCTCCCAGCCAGCAAGCTTGCTTGCTAGGTATCCTAGAAACCATAGTCAACAAAGTCAGTTAAAAAAAACAAAACTCTGCCAGCACAAGAGTTGACAAGGGGGTGAATCTGCTCTTTCTTAGCTCAGGGCAACATAAGCAGCTTTGGAAAGAGGTGGGTCTCTTTTTGACTTGAAATGACATGTTGTGATCATGTCATTTATTTGGGGGGAAATGAGCTAAGATCCCAATGTGAGAAGGAGGGTCTCATTGGGAACAAACCTGGGGCCTCTAGCCAGTTATTTTGCCTGTGGTTACATATATTGCCTACTTGGAAGTTTGATAAAAGGGTGCTGGTAAGAGCAGATTGACGTTTTGATTATCTCTCTCTCCCCCCCGGTTTTATGAATGTAAATAGCATTACACATTTTCATCTGACCTATTGGTATGTTTTCATTCTTAATTTAACTATTTGATATGCTTTGAATTAACATAATTTTTGAACTACCAATGTTTTATTGTTGTCTGTTGCAACTATCACTATGTATTATAGCTATTGCATTGTTACAATAGTTACAGTTGCTTCTTTTTACCGCCAACCACCTTCGGAAGTATGTATTTGTAGGAAACGTTTTCTTACATAAATAAACCAATGGTGATAATGATAATGGAGAAAACAATTGATGTCTATTGGGAAGATCAGCAGGCATCTATTTTTGTTTGACCACTCGAGGGCAGTAGTGATCTACATGGGAATGTCATAAATAGGCTGGAGGGTAGAGGACAGATGTCCACTTGCTAGGGTAGAGTCAATAAATGACATTGAGCTATTTGAAAGATAGTTGGCTTGGCTGGTTGTTAGACTATCATTTGCCCCCAACTCAGCTTGTAGCATTGAGAGATACATGAGAGTTCTCGGTGGGTTTGGGTGCAGAAGGCTTCTTGAATTTTGATATATGTCACCTTCTAAGGTGGGCACTTGCTTTGTTTTTGTTTTTAATTTCAAGCAAGACTTCAATGGATAGTTACTACTAGAGATGGGGGTATTCGGATTCATGTACGAATATGAATATCCCCACACATGTGAAAATAATGAGGGTCTGGCCCCATGGGGCTGGACTGTCCACTCACGATTTCGCCGCTGCCCCCAGCTCTGTAGAGGCTTCCTATTGCTCCATTTTCTGCAATCGATTACCTGGTCCTGGCAGGAGGCAGGATTAAGCCTCTCTGCTAGGTCAGAAAATGGCTAATCGCTTGCGGAGAGCAGCGTGATAGGAAGCCTCCACGGAGTTGGTGGCATCGGCAAAATCATGAGTGGACAACCCAGCCCCATGGGGCCAGTTCCTCATTATTTCCACCTGCGCAGGGATATTCATATTCATGTGCAAATACCCCCATCTCTAGTTACTACTTAATCATGTTTGAAATTCACCATCAGTAAGCAGGATACTTGGAGAGCCACAGTGATTTATGTCTCTTAACAAGAGACCTTCCAAAGTATAGAAGCATGAGGTTGCACCATGGATGTCCTCCATTCAGGAGAACTGCCAAAATTAAATCAAAATGAAGTTCCACTAATGTGGATCCAGCATTGGTGGCATTTCCAGAATGTTCAGGTTTGATTCAGCTTTTGTTAAATTCTTTTCCGTGCAGTAACATTTGTTGCATTTGACACATTTCAGATATCAAAGCTGTGCACCACCTTGACATTTGTAGTACTTTAGTATGTCATCCTCCGTTATTGAAAGCTGCTCTGGAAGGCACTTTCCAAAGCAAAATACAACATATTAAAGAAGTAATGGAAAAATAGTAAGAATAAAATGAGCAATCTGCATGTCAAGTGTTAAAACTTAATACATACGAGCAACCATTAGAATTCAATAAAACACAAGTCAAGAAAATGCCAAAGAAAATAAATGGTGAAGCTTGATAGATTCCAGATGGTAATGTATTCCAGAAGAATGGGGCCCATGCAGAAAAGGTCCTCTCATTTGAGCTTGCCGCCAGCCTACCTGTTTCGGAAAGTGGTAAGGTGAGACTGTCCTCCACTGATTACCTTCAAGGGCAGGCAGGCTGATGGAGGAGCAAGAGGGCGTACAGGTGATTTTAAAAAATGAAATGAACATTTCAAATGGGGTTTAGAAATGCAGTCCACAGTCTCAGTGCCACATGAACTAATTGAGCCTTCTCATTCTTCACTAGTGGAAGCTTCCAAATCACCTTTAGAGGCATGTGTGGCATGTTAAAGTAGTTCAGTCAAGATGTTAATAGCCCGTAATTAATTGACAGGTTTGCCTTCTCTGGATAGGGCCAAAGCTGGCACACTGCCTATACAGGGCTGTTATCATCACATCAGTTTTCTGGGTAAATACAGAGTCCAGAAGAACTGTACATTTGGGGGTCAAAGTAGCTTTTTAGGGTAAGGTGCATTCCCAGCTATTAACCTATTTTCTCTCACACCATCAGATTTCCTCAGAGATAAATTCCTCAACAATCAGATTTGCCAATTAAGGCTGTTTTCACCTTCCAATGACCAATCACAAAACAAAGAAAGCTGAATGCAAGAGATATAGGTAAGGGATATAATGTGCTATGACAAACAGGTATTTTTGCCATTTGAGGAGCTTATCTTCCTTCAAATGCTAGATTTTTGTATGTTGACTCCTGGTATTTTGGTAAAGTACAGTCCCATTTAAGACTAGAGGAAACCTCTATCCAGACAAGTCAGTTTTGGTAGTCAGAGTATTTATCAGAATTAAGACTCATCTTATTTCTCTCTGTCTATTCCAAATTCAGGTCCAGGCAATGGTGCAAGATTTTTTTTTACTGCCCTTTGGATTTAGAAGAAAGAAGGGAAGCAGAGATGTGTATGAACTGCCTGTTGGCTATGCTGCAGCTGAATCCTCCCAATGATTTCCCTTGGTAGTTTCCTGTTAAAACATGCATAGAACCAGATGGAACTTTGTGACATTTAGGGGTGTGCAAGAAATTAAATCCCTAATTACCATTAATTAAGTAATTAATTACGTAATTTGTATTTACAAACCCAACATATGAACAAGAATGAAACTGTCACTCAGACTCAATCTGTTCCTGAAGTGAGTGATGCAATCTACATAAAAACATTTTAAAACAATATGCACTACCTTTTTTTATTAAAAAAAAAGAAAATGTATATAATAATTTCTTTGTCAGTGGGGCCAGGCTGCTTGGGGAAAATGTGTACATTTAAAAGAATGTTCTCCAAGAGACTTTGGGAAAACCCTCTGGGGTTTTACATCGAGGCTTGGGAACACCTACCTACCTACCTACCTACCTACCTACCTACCTACCTACCTACCTACCTACCTACCTACCTATCCACCCACCCAATATATGTAATTGGATATAGATATAGATAGTGAAAATAATGCACACCCTCTTTGAATTCTATGGTTTTACATATCACGACATAATAAAAACCATCTGGTCCTTAGCAGCTCTCAACATTTGGTAAATACAACCTCAGATGAACAACAACATGTGACATCTTATACCGTGTCATTATTTATGTTACAGAAATAAAGCCAAAATGGAGAAGCTACGTGTGAAAAACTAAGTACACCTTATGATTCAATAGCTTGTCGAACCACCTCTAGCAGCAATAACTTGAAGTAATTGTTTTCTGTATTATTTTATCAGTCTCTCACATTATTGTGGAGGAATGTTGGCCCACTCTTCTTTACAACATTGCTTCAGTTCATTGAGGTTTGTGGGAATTTGTTTATGTGAAGCTCTCTTAAAGTCCTACCATGGCATTTTAATTTATTTATTTGATTTATATACCACCCATCTGGCAGCCAAGGCCACTCTGGCCAGTTTACAACAACTAGACAGAAACAATAAAATAACAAAATAAGACAACATCAATGAACTAAAAAGTACAAACCAAAAGTACCATAAAATACAGTGGAAGACATAGTGAAATATAGTACAATACATTACATTTAATAGCATAAAAACTATGTTGAATGTTAGATTATCAGAAACACTGTTGCATCAGGCTGTTATTTGTTCAGGAAAGGCCTGCCTAAACAACCAGGTTTTTAATAGCTTTTTGCAAGTGCCTAGTGAGGAGGACAGGCGAACTTTTGGCGCAAGGGGATTCCGCAATTGTGGGACTACCGCCGAGAAGGTCTAATTTCTTGTAGCTGTTTTCTGAGCCTCTCTTGGGGTCAAAACTCTGCCCTGCCTGGAACAATCTTATTGGATGGGCAGACCTAACTGGAAGGATGTCATTTTAATAAGGTTGAGGTCTGGATTTAGATGAGACCATTGGAACACTTTGATTCTTTTCCTTTTCAGCCATTCTGTCGTAGATTTGCTGGTTTGCTTGGGGTTATTGTCTTGTTGAATGATCCTGTTTTGGCCAAACTTTAGCTGTTGAACTGATGACCTTACATTTGACTCTAGAATACTTTGGTATAAAGAAAAGTTCATGGTTGACTCAATGACTGCAAGGTGCCCAGGTCCTGGAGCTGCAAAAGAAGCCCAAATCATCACCCCTCCACCACAGTGCTTGGCAGTTGGTATGAGGTGTTTGTGCTGATATTCTGTGTTTGGTTTTCACTAAGCATGGCACTGTGCATTCTGGGCAAACATCTCCACTTTTGTTTGTCCAAAGGACATTGTTCCAGAAGTCTTGTGGTTTGTCCAGATACAACTTTGTAAACCTAAGCTGTGCCACCATGTTCTTTTAAGAGAGATGAGGCTTTCTTCTGGCTACCCTTCCAAACAAACCATACTTCTTCAGTCTTTTTCTAATTGTACTGTAATTGAGCTTTAACATTTAACATGCTAGCCGAAGTCTGCAGATCCTAAAATGTAACTCTTGAGCTTTTTGCAGTTTCTCTGAACATTGGACAGTTTCACTTTGGGATGTAGTTTCTTTTTCACATGACTGTAGATATATAGATAAAGATATATTAACCCTTTTCAAAACTGTGCAGGTCATGATCTACCTATTCCAATAGGATCGCCACCACCCATAGATGATTATTCCCTAATCCTGTACAGAAACCCAGATCCAAAATATATCCTGCCACATGTGTTAGATCAGATATTGAGATGCATTCAGATGGCAAACATGAGATCTATTCTGAATCATTCCAGAGTTCAGGACACACAACAAAAGGCTCAAGTTACAGGAAGCCAGATTTTGGTTGAATATCAGGGAAAACTTCCTGTTAGAACAGTGCAACAATGAACCAATTACCTCGAGAGGTGGTGAGTACTCCAACACTGGAGGCATTCAAGATAAATTTAGACAACCACCTGGCAGATATGCTTTGATTTGTATTTCTGCATTGAGCAGGGGATTGGACTTGATGGCCTTATAGGCCCCTTTGAACTTCATTATTCTATGGTTCTATGAACCGATCCAGAAAAGGTGGCTTTAACTTGAGTATCACAGCCCTTCATGATCAGTGGCTATGTTATGTGTACATATATTATCTTACCAAGTTTGCATCAATGTACATAACAAGAGAGTACATTATGTTCAGTCATATAAAACAGGAAATGTGAAAATCTCTTGGTGGAGTCATGGAACTATGATGTATTGCATGTTATTGTTTTTTGTTATGTGCCATCAAGTAGCTTCCAACTTATGGTGACCTTTTGAATGAGTGATTTCCAAAATATCCTGTCCTCAACAGCCATGCTGTTCCTGTAAATTCAAGCCTACTATTCCTGTAATCTCAATCCTACAGCTTCCTTTAGGAAGTCAACTCATTTCATGTTTGGTCTTTCTCTTTTCCTGCTGCCTTCAACCTTTCCTAGCATTATTGTATTTTCCATAGAATCTTGCCTTGACATGATGTGCCCAAAGTAGTTCAAGCTTGGTTTGATCCAGGACCCATTTGTTCATCTTTCTGGCAGTCCAAGGTATCCACAAAGCTCTCCTCCAGCACCACATTTCAAATGAATCTCTTTTTTCCCTATCAGTTTTCGTTACTGTCCAGCTTGCACACCTATACCTCCAGATCAGAAATACAAGAGTGTGGATGATCATGGTCTTGGTCTCCAGTGACATATCCTTACACTTCATGTTCTTTTCTAATTTCTTCATTGCTGCTTTTCCTAGTCTCAGTCTTCTTCTGATTTCTTGGCTGCAGTCCTCCTTTGGATTGATGACTGAACCAAGGTACAGAAGATCTCTAATTATTTCAATTACTTCATTTTCAACATTAAAATTGTGTAGCTATTCTATAGTTGTGATTTTTGTCTCCTTGATGTTCAGGTGCAGTCCTACTTTGGCATTTGCATCTTTCATTGTCCCTAACAATCGTTTCACACCATTGCTACTTTCTGCCAGTATGATGGTGCCATCTTCACATCTTAAATTATATTTATTCCTTCCAGAAGTTTTTATTCCTCCCTCATCTGAATCTAGTTCTGCTTTTCGTATATGGTTCTGTGTTCAGTTTGAACAAATAAGGGGATAAACTGCACCTTTGTCTGACACCTTTGCCTATAGGAACCCATAATGTCTCTTCATATTCTGTCCTAACAATGGGGTTTTGTCCATGATACGAGTTTTGCATCAGGATAACCAAATGCTGAGCCACACCCATTTCTTTCAAATCAGATTTGTCGCACACTCAGCAGGGATGCTTTTTGTCAAAGGTGAGTTATTTTGTAATACTAATTATCTCCTGTTTCATATAACTGATGTTAACACAAATTAGAATCTCTCACTTCAATTGTTAAGCATGCATGAAGAAGAAAAATGTAATCTTTTGCCATTCTGTGAGCATAAAGAGATGTTTTAAAGAGTGCTGTCTGGATGCTTTTGCATTGCAACAGGCTTGTTATTGTCAGCAAAGAAAGAGGAACTGGCATCATCATACACTCCCTTCTAGTACTATAGCTGTGGATTTCTTTACAGTCACTTCTGCTCCTCTCTTTGATATTACATTGCCATGAAGCCGAGTTCTTAGCGTATATAAAATGTATTCATGCCACAAAACAATCATATTTCCTCCTTGAGACAGGTGGAAATTCTTGCCACATCAACACCACAGTGCCTGATTTGCATATGATAGTGTTATTTTAAGGCAGACTATGGGCCTTTAATTTCCCTTTCCTTCTACTTAGGCAGCCTTGCCCTCTACATGCTGGGAAATTACATGGATAAATGGACCAACAGAAGGTGGGGCCCATTCCCTCTACATAAATATACACAGACAAAACCCTCACACCACCATTCATCCTGCTTCATCTTCTGAGGATTTCTGAGTGGAAGGTACTGACCGATTCCATCTGGCGGCTTGATTATGCTTCAAAGACTACAAATCCCAGGGACTTTCAAACATTCAAACACAAACATGCATTAGAAAGAAGAAACGGCTTCCTTGAGACAGGCCAGCTGAAGTCAAGCCACAGAAGAATCCAATACAAAGTCCCCTAGTCTTTGCTTTGTAGTGACTACGAGGCCTCTTTTGTTTTCAAAACAGAAAGTTTAACATTGACAGTGCTGCTTGAAAGACATGGTTTTCACTGTTTGCTTTACTCCCTAGGTGCTGTGTGTGGTAGAAAGGAAGGAAGGGATAAAGAAAAATGACTATCCCTGATATTATCAAATGACTTTGCATGAACAGAAATTAAAATAAGACTTGGGATTTCTAGAGATAGGAGACCCAGACCTGGAACCTTACCAATGACATCCTTTGCTCTTGAATCATATGTAGCTTAGAGATCAAACAGCAAAGACCTATAGGATGAGTGGTCTCCTGGAATGAAGCCATATTCCTTGCTTCATAAACTAACTTTTGCAAGTAAAATCAATCCCATGTGCTAACTATTTATTGCTAACTCTAAATGTGTCACTTCATATCTCAAGACTATATATTGCACCAAAATACATCATCCTTACCATGGCTGGATGCTATGATAGAGTTTTCCCAGTTGGTCCTTTGAGGTGCATTGTCTAGGAATCCATCAAACTTTCCTTCCCTGAAGGCATGAACAGAACACAGTTATATAGAAGAGTTATGGGATGCATATGGATTTTTTTAAAAATCTGGAG